TATATATAAACAACATATATAACATATATAAAAACAAACCGGGCCTCAGAATGGGGTAGAAAGGTGATTTAAGTGACTTTGAATGTAGCATGGTTGTTGGTGCCAGGCGGGCTGGTCTGAGTGTTTCAGAAACTGCTGATCTACTGGGCAGAACCATCTCTCTTGGGATGTGGTGGAATGGGAGATTCACATCATGGATGTGCAGCTGACAAATTCGCAGCAATCGCGTGACGCTATCATGTCAATATGGACCCAAATCTCAGAGGAATGTTTCCAGCACCTTGCTGAAATCTATGACACCAAGAATTAACGCAGTTTTGAAAGCAAAAAAAAAAAAACAAGGGGACTCAACTCGGCACTAGCAAGGTGTACCTAATAAAGTGGCCAGTGAGTATACATATACATACATACATTGGACAATATTGAACATACATTGTTTTTTTAACACCCCTTGAAATCAAGAAGGCCTTGCTACCTCCCATGAAGCTTTGGCGACCCCTAGTGGAGGTCAGGATCCCACTAGGGGTCAGTTTAATTTATGACATGTCACAAAACAGTGAAAAATGGTGGACACAAGTTCTTGCTTTGTCTGACCCATGATCAATACAAAATACTCAAAAAGAGTGTTGTTGTTTCCACCATAACCATCTGCGTGATGTCATCGCAAGAGGAATTTGGTAAGTTATTAAAAAAATAAATAAATAAATGTTTTTGAAAGATTGATTTAAGACACTTTGACACCAATTACAACCTATGAAATTCAATGCCTTTAAAACTCTTTAAACACTGATTATCAGAATTGACAAATTGATCTAATCAGATGCACACTTGTGTCGTAGACAGATGTTTCCCTTTAATTTTATATTTTGGCTGAAACAAAACACATTAGTTGTGAACGCTGCTGTGTCTGGTTAAATACAGTATCAACAAATGTACAATACCAGTAGTCTGCATTTATTGAATCCAGATATGGCAAAAAACAACATATAACACATCTGAATCTTCACAACTGTTAAATTTTGCTCATTGACAAGTGAATCTGCTACTACAGAGACGAGTATTTCTACTCGGTCTTCATCGCAGGGTTTTAACTTTGGACTGAATCAGACACATTGAAGCATTAGTACAGCTCTGACCGACACAAACAGCTCCTCTGTATCAGAAATGAACATAAAATGAAATCTTGCCATGTGGTGCATCCTGTAACTGAATTGGTATCAAAGCAAAAACCGTTAAATAGAGGCAGAAATAAAACAATTTCAGAACATTAATAATAAGCTATAAAAGCACAACTCTTTTGAAATATGACCATTTGCAAAAAATCCCTTCAGATGTGAACTGTCTTTAACTTCAACTGTCTCACCCAGTTTCATTGTTTGTGTTGTTCCCATGTTAACACGTCCATTCAGGCCCATTGTCAGACATCTACAGCTCCATCAGAGCTTTGATGTCATTAATACGAGAGGTTTCCCTTTTAGCGTTTGACGAGCCAAAAGCCTTCTCCACCAGGTCCTGCTTCTGCCTCTGGATCTTCACCATGTTCTCCTCCACCGAGTTTTTGACAATGAACTGCAGCATCAGACACATAAAATAAAATTACAGATACAAGCAAAATATTACAGCCAGTGATGTTTCTCATGTGTTAGACAATCCAAATAGCTTGTCGCCTAAGAATGTACACATAAAGGAATCACTTCATACAGCAGGTGCTTGGACATTTGTCTTGGTGACAACATACTAGTGATGCGCGAGTCGACCCACAACCCACGGGTTTCGGGTAACCTTAGTAGAAAATATCGCGTGTTTAAGCCGGGCGGGTCATAAAGTGATAAAGCAGTGTTTTGAGTAAATTAATAACTTACATAAACACTGTGCAATAGTCCACCTTCCACCTACGCTTCCTCCCTCTCCCTCAGCCTCTCTACAATACACACAGCAAGCAGCTTTACCGTCAGCGCTGCTGCGTTCAGGGTGTTTGTTATACGGATTTGACCAGAAAGATCATAATGTTGGGTAAAAATATTTCCCTCTGAGAATACGTAGGCGTAACATGTGTCCTAACAGCAAGTGAGCACACTCTCTGTCCACACTAAATCTGCACTTCTGTCATGTCATGTAAACAAAGCATGTACCTATCAGCTACGTGCTCGAGATCAGACTAGAGACATCACCACTTAAGATGGGTGAATACTTGCTATCTTCCTACGTTTCCACTTTTTAAACAGAAAACTGTTAGTGACACACAATACAGTCAACAGCTGGTAGGGTGTTAAAATGGTAATTTACCTTACCAGAAACTTTCTGCTCCCTGGTGATCTCCCTCCTGCCAGCTGCCACCTTTCTCAGGTTTTTGTAGTAAAGTGAGGAGGTACTGTATATTCCTCATGTCAGCCTTTCAAATCAGCTGTCAATTGAGGAGCTTTCTGACAAAAGGTTCAGCTCAAAACGGCGTGCAGCATTGCTCACAGCTGGTTAGGACATTTCAACAGCTGTGGCATTATAACTGTCTTTATCTCACTACTCAGTCCTGACAACTGTGCAGCTGTAGCGAGTAAAGTTAACGGTTTGCAGGTCAGGTTTTAGTGGTTGATTAAAGGATAAATTTGCAGGCTGGGCTGGTGCAGGTCTTACAAAAACCCTAACCAGTGCATCACTACAACATACGGTAAAAACAGTTTTCTTCAGTGTAAAATGGATCTGCTAGGAAAGATATAATACCTTGCCACAGACATGAAACTGCAGACCCTGACACAACAGCACAAATATGGTTTGTAATAGTTTTCTGACCTTGGTGACAAAGACCTTCCTTGTCTGTCCCAAACGGTGGCAGCGGTCAATACACTGGTCCTCAGTAGCAGGATTCCAGGCCTGAAACACACAGTTAATTCCAAGTTCACATGCAGCTCAGATTATTTTTCCTGAAAACATTTTATCATTTAACATCTCACTCTATTTTTCCATTTTTGATTTCATCTGCAGGCTTTCTTGTGACCACTTTAGCTAGCAGATGAAGGCCAACATAATAGTTACTCAAAAGCCATATATGGCATTTGCTGTATGAAAAAATGCTTCTGCTTTGCTTCTCTGCCCCCCCTCTTTTCCATTTTAATTTTTCGTTAACAGGAAAGTATGAAAAGTAACAACGTACTGTATGTAGCAATACAGCTAATCAGCTAACAAACTTTTGTATGCGACTTTCTGCAAAATCCCTTAAGCCTGCACAATCTGTTACACTGTGGTTAAATTTGTGAATGTTTCATGACAAACACAATACTTACAGGGTCCATGATAAAAACTCTAGAGGCGGCCGTCAAGTTAAGCCCCACCCCTCCGGCTTTGAGTGACAGAAGCATGATGGAGGGGCTGTCGGCTGCAGAGCTCTGAAACTCCTGGATGACCTGGGTCCTCTTCTTCTGGCTCATGGTGCCATCCAAACGCAGAAAACTGAACCCATGCTCTCTGGTGAAGAGAAAGAGGACAAAAGAAAAGTCATAAATAACACGAAAGACATCAGACTTCCACGACAAGTGTAAATATCTAGACTTGAACAAAAGAAAAGAGGTGAACAGAAGTTATTGGGGAGCCCCACATGAACAAACAGCCACAAATGCATCTGTTTATATGTTCCACTTTCAGACACAAAGTCATTATGAAATGCTATAAATGGGAAACCCAATAAACTAAACATCCACCGAAGCTGTTGTAATAATTTAAGCAGTAATGAGAGCTCTTTACAGCTTTAATATCCACTTAGGCCCCAATCACACAGAAAACATTTTGCAGGTTGCAAAATGCGAGGCACACTGCACTGCCATCCCATTACCTCCATACACTAACTTTCCCATGTAATCAATCTAATGTTTTTTTCACCCAGTAATTAGTATCTAGTTCCTCAAATGTTCAGGCAGAGGGTACTTGCTGTAGCTCTGGTTGAGGGTGAGAGGCTGTCAGTAAACAGTTTGTTGGGCACAGGGAAACAGAGATCTGTGTGGGTACATGAGACCCTAAACAAGAGGGTGGATCATGGGGAGTACCACCAGCTGGTCTGGGAGCTTCCCCTCGATGATGGCCGTTTCCAGGCATATTTTAGGATGACTCGACCTGCTGTCTATCGTCAGGCCGTATAGCTCTCGGTATCCAGCAACCGCTACCACCAGTTTCTCCTCCATTGTTTACCAACTGTAAACTTGTTGTCGTGACCACCACAGCAGACAAAAAGATGACAAAAAAAGAGATGACATGGGCCATTTTTCCACTCTTTTCCACTCTAAAGTGCAGAAACATGAGGCAAGAAGCAACGCAAAAAACAGCGAGCAAAAAGCTTCATTCTCATTAAAAACAAGTACAAAAAGCCGCCTCCAGCTGCTAAAATGCTTTCTGTGTGATCAGGGCCTCATACCTTTAAAAATCCTGCACATCAACTTTGAATCTGTGTTTTACCTGAGTGGAGTCTCCAGTATGGTGAGGAAGCGTGTGAACTGCGAGACGACCAAACATTTAATGCTGCTGTCTTCATGTCTCAGCCTGAGCAGGTTTCCCATCAGCGCCTGCACCTGCAGAAACAAAACACATCAAAAGGAGGAACAACACTGTTCTCATATGGCGGCATACAAGCCCATTTTCCATCACTGTCACGCTGCTAAAGAAGACCTTTTGAGAGACTTGAACATTTCATCTTCCATTGTGAAGTGTGATTTTAAAGATGGCACAATATAGACCACAAACAAATCCAAATTAATAAAATAAAGTCAATCATTTCCTGCATTAATTACATGTAACACTGTGTAAATATGGCAAATATTTTGTCATATAATACTAAGAATGTTGAAGGTTTGAATGTAACAGAAGACTAAAATGATTTGTAGGCAACTTAAAATGAAAGATTTTGCACAGCAG